CAAGATGCACATGTGTCTGACAATTTTACTCCTTCCATAATGCTTCATGGAGGTAAGAATTATGAGTCACGGCGGTGCTGGGAAGATATATTTGATGCTATTGTTAATGCAAAATACCTGATTTACATAGCTGGCTGGTCTGTTAACACAAAGATCACCTTAATAAGGGATCCTCGTAGGCAAAAGGCGGGAGGGGATCTTCCTCATCTTTCTTTAGGAGAACTTCTCAAGGAGAAAGCTAAAGAGAGAGACATGAGAGTTCTCATACTTGTTTGGGATGATATAACTTCAGAGCCGTATAATAGGCAAGGATTAATGGGAACCCATGATGAAGACACCTTTGCTTACTTTCTGAACACAAATGTAAGGTGTATTAAGTGTCCCCGGAGGGCTGGCCAAGGATTAAGCACGATACGGGGTGTTCAGGTTGATGCTATGCTTACACACCATCAGAAAACAGTAGTGGTTGACTGTGAGAGCCCTGGATCACTAAAGAGGATAATTGTGAGTTTCTTAGGAGGTATTGATCTTTGTGATGGAAGATATGATACACAAGATCATTCTCTTTTTAGGACATTAAAAACAATTCACAAGGATGATTTCCATCAGCCTAATTTTCCAGGAGCTTCAATACAAAAAGGTGGTCCGAGGGAACCATGGCATGATATCCATTGCCGGCTAGAAGGACCTGTCGCATGGGATGTGCTATATAACTTTGAGCAAAGATGGACTAAGCAAAAGGGAAAGCAGTTCCTATATTCGCTAGATGAGCTTAAGGAAAGAATAACCAAACCTTTTGAAGTAATGACAGCAGCAGAAGAACAAGAATCTTGGAATGTTCAGATATTCCGATCCATTGATGGAGGTTCGGTGGTACTTGATGGAGAACCAGGGGTAGGCTTCCCATCAGACCCAAATAAAGCATTTCAGGTTGGTCTTTACTGCGATAGAGGCAGTATCATAGATCGTAGCATTCAAGATGGATACATAAATGCCATCAGACGAGCAAAGAACTTTATATACATTGAAAATCAATACTTTCTTGGAAGTTCGTATGCCTGGAAACCCGAGGAAGATATTGATGCCTTGCATATCATACCGAAAGAGCTGTCACTGAAGATCATCAGCAAGATTGAAGCTGGAGAGAGATTTTCTGTGTATGTTGTAATACCTATGTGGCCTGAAGGAGAGCCTGAAAGTGGTGCTGTCCAGGCAATACTATATTGGCAGAGGAGGACAATGGAAATGATGTATACTGATATTGCCAATGCCATACGACGCATGAATCTCAACGCACACCCAAAAGATTATTTATCGTTTTTCTGTCTTGGTAATCGGGAGGTTTTGAAAACTGGGGAAGATCAACCTGCAGAGAAGCCAGTGCTTGGTACTACATATGACAGAGCTCAACACAATCGACGTTTCATGATATATGTTCATGCTAAAATGATGATAGGTATTTTGTGCTCACCAACAATTATTTTATGGTCTGTTCGGTCTTTTTAATTATTCCTTTCAAAATTTACTTGGTTTACTAATAATTCGTAATCTCTTTTGTTGGAAATTATGTGTTTCCCTTCGTTGATCTCTTTAAGCTGCCTTTTGGAGTAGGGAGGTGTTAAAATGACAAGAAAAGAGAAAAAAAAAAATGAAATGAAAAAGAAGCCAGCAATTTGCCAATAAACAAACGATAAATTGAATGCAATATGGCCTTAGAAAGACAAAGCTCCTAACCTCTACTTTCTAGCCTAACATCTTGGTTAGTCCCTCAATTGCTTGGTTCTTTCAGCAGTAACATTGTTTATATTTATTGCATTTCAGTTGATGATGAATACATCATTATTGGGTCTGCAAATATAAACCAGCGGTCAATGGATGGGGGAAGAGACACGGAGATAGCAATGGGAGCCTACCAGCCGCATCATTTATCTGCAGGGCAGCCAGCAAAGGCGCATATATATGGCTTTAGAATGGCGCTGTGGTATGAGCACATTCACTATATGCATGAATCATTTCTGTATCCCGAGACACTGGAATGCATGCAAGTTGTGAACAGTATTGCTGAAAAATATTGGAAAATATATTCTAGTGAAACTTTCGATCAAGACTTGCCTGGACACCTCCTTCGATATCCCATTGAAGTCACAAGTTTTGGACATATTACCCCGCTTTCTGAAGATGAAAAGTTCTTCCCTGACACCATTGCTCCTGTTCTTGGGACTAAGTCTGATCTGCTACCTCCTATACTTACTACTTAGTAACATTGATATTCCAATACAAGACTTACAAGACAAAAGGGTATGTTAACGCATTTTTCTTTGAACCTGTTGATTGTTGACATTTCAGAAAAATAGTTGTAAATTTGAGTAATCATGAATCGCTTAAAGTGATCTCAGCTCTTTTTTTAGGATCATCCTCATTGGAAGATGCAGCAGTAGAGTATACCCGGTATAAGTCATATCATGTTTCACTGATAATTTTTTCCTCTTTGCTGCACTCTTGCAGAAGCATGTCATTGAGCAGCTGAGCAACTGAGCAACTGAAGCATAAGACTGATATGTTTAAGATCAGAGCTGCAAAATGCGAAGGAAGACCAAAAATTCAGGGATTTTGTTGTTCTGTACATAAACATAGCAATTAGCAAAGGTGAATTAATAATAGCCTAGGCAAGACAATAGAAGAATTGATGTATTTAACCAGAATACATTGTTCATATACATTCTTTTAAGACAGCAACATTACCATTACTTGTATTTCATGTATAATGTAGGGAATTTGCTTCTGGAAACAATCCATTTCATTTGTCATTTGTAAATAATGTAGGGTATTTATTTGCTCTATCTGAAGTACGGAGTATTTCCTAGAAAAAAGCACATCAAATTTGAATTCTTCTAAAATAATATAAATTCCATAATATCATTGACAAATCGAATATAAATTGTTTAAGATAAGTTTTTCAAGGTATGAATGTTACTTAAACTCTTGTGAGTTATGACTGAAAAAAAAAGTTATTTTTGTCAATTTTGTCATCCTTATCTTGAAAGTTAATTAAATAAATAAATATTTATCCCCTATCATCCAAAACATAAGTGATTGTCAAATTGTCGTTAACAATGCTCTAATAACAGGAAACATTGTGTTTGGAGTAAAAAAAAAAAAACCCTACTAGATTTCCTTTTTTTAATAGAAAATTTTCAGTCACTCTCACAATTTCCAACTATAGTTGTAGGATTTGTGACTATTGTGAGAGTGATTGTCTCTAAAACTATGGTTTTTTTTTTTGTTTTTTATGTTAAAAAAGAAACTAATAAAGCTTAGTTAGACTATTGTTTTTACTTTATTATTAACTTGATCTTCTCAAAGGAAAATACTTTGCAGCCACTTCTCTAGTATCGTCATAAAAAATCAATCGATGTTCATATATTCTAACCTTACTCGCTTTCCATATACAAATATATGTCTACTTTAATCCTTTCACACATTCTTATCCTTATTAGGCACTACGTATTCAATTTTCAAAAATTTCCTACAATCATTTTCCAATACACGGTTTTTTCATCTAAGATTTTTTAATTATTTGATTTAGTGTATTTAATAATTTCAGACAAAATTACAAAAGTTTAATATTTTTTTTTTACTATAATTTATAATGAATTTATTAAATATAAATAAATTGTAAATATGATTTTTTTCCGTTATATAAAATCTTTAATGTGAACGGATCGATTTTTAATAATTTAAATCCTAAATCATTATTCATTGTTTTACCATTTATTTCGACAAAATCAATAACCTCGTCCATAACCAACCTACTACATCAATGAATAAATTGAACCGTGAAATGTTAGCCAAACTGAAATTGATATAAATTAAATCTTTACATTTATATAAAATAAATCAATATATTTACCGGAAAAATTGTTGCGATATAAAATCAAATCTATACATTAGAATTTTTTCATCATCTCCAAAAATAACCAAAGCCATCCATATATTAAGTATACAACATCTAATCGTATGTCATTACATAAACAAATAATCGTTAAGTATCCTAAATAAATACAATGTAACTAATAATTATAAATATAAATTTAAACATAAGATTTTAAAATTTACCCAGATATTGATGACCTAAAATTAATACAAAATCACTAACACAAAATTTGCTTGATGGGGTTTTGTATTGATACAAAATTTTATTTTTGTCATATGATTTGTTAGATCTGCATGTAAAAAAACATTTAGTAAATAAAATATAAACATATAATAGTTGAGTATCCCAAATTAATACAATGCAAGTAATAATTAGAAATACTAATTTAAACATAAGATTTAAAAATTAAGCTAAAAATTACTCGGCCCGTTGATGACCAAAATTAACACAAAATTACTAACACAAAATTCGCTTGATGGGTTTTTTATTGATACGAAATTTTGTTTGTGTCGTATAATGTGTCAATTTATAATGGTAGATATCACAAATTTTAATTTAATTATAATGAACGAACAATTTGTATTTCTTATCATAAATACTATCAAAATTTATCTTATAATGATAGGTACCAAACTTTATTATAAGCGTTTATCATTTAAATATTTTTTAGTATATTTTTTTGGATTACTTATACTCGTAGTATTGAATTACTAAATTTATCTTTTCCTATATTTTTACTTTATTTTTTTTCATTAAAATAATTTAATTCGTGGATTATAATTTACGTGCCATTAAAATTTTAGATATATCAAATCAAATTCGTTACTTTTATCTAGGTGGCGACATAATTTTTAAATTCAAAAATAAAATACAAATCTTTTTTTTAATTGGTAGAAATAAGTATATTTCTTACATGACGCTACGAATGTTCTTAAAAAACACCTACTTATATATATATATATATATATATATATATATATATATATATATATATATTTTTTTTTTTTTTTTTTTTTTTTTTTTTTATATATATATATATATATATATATATATATAAAATAGATTTCAAAGATCTTGAATCATCTACTGACAGACTGACAAGAAGTTTAATTTTCCAATTTCCATCTACCTTTTTTAATGGCCAACCTCCCCTCTTTCCTACTTCCCTTATTATCCATAACTGAAAACTGAAAAAATTCAGCTACTAGCATAATTTTAGAAAGGAGGAATTCAATTCTTTAAAAACCCTAAAAAAAAAAAAAAAAAAAAGAAATTATATTCTTTACATAACTTTATTCTTCTTCTTCCCCCTTTTTCCCTTCCCAATAATTGAATTTTAAATTACCAAAAAAAAAAAAAATCAATAAAAATCCCAGGAAAAAAACTACTGTACTCAATATTGTTTCTTGAAGCAGCTTGCAATTATCAGGTCTGTCATTCTCTCTCCTAAATTCAATCTTTTGTTATTTTCTTCAATTATTTTTGGGTTGCTGAGTTCACTGATTTCTACTTTTGGGGTTTTTTTTAAAATTTATTTTTTTGGGGGTTTTTAGTTTATACAGTATGGAGTATGGTGATCTCTTCAGGATAGCAAATTGAGTATCTGGGTGTGATTTCTCCAGTAAATGCTACTTGGTAATCAACAATTTCTGCTTGGATTCTTGGATTTCTCACATATTTGCATGCATGGGGTGAGTCACTCTTCCCTCAATTTTAATCTTCTTATTTCTTAGAAATTTGTCAAAGAATTGGAATCATTTACTGTTCTTTTTTCCAATCTAATACCCTTTTGGTTAATTGTTCTAATTCTTTATGTAAATTGAATTGGTATGATTATTTGTTGAGTAATTGGATAAAATGAAGGATTCAATTTAGTTGAACCAATTGACCGTTTCTTGATTTTTATCATTACTATTTGGTGGGGGTGTCGATTAGCTTGGTTATAGTTTGGGAGTATTACATGGACCTCGGATCGAATCTCGTGTACATCACTGTCGTGGCAATGTTGGATTCTTTTGTGCTGTTTATACTCCGTAATTAGTACTACGGAGTAGAAAATATGCTACAGAGGCAATCTATACTTTTTGACTTCAAATAAACCTGCCTTAGTTGTGCCCCATGTATAGTATTGTCTAGATTTTTTCGGGTTTAGCCGTTTAGAGTACTTAATAAGTAAGTTTTATGTATAACAAGATTAAAAAAGGTTTCTAATTTTAGTACTGTTTAAGATACTACAGCTCATAAACCATTCTTTCAACTGTAGTAAGCTACAGCTGTGTACCCTTTATTAGTATTTTTGTGGAAACTATGTTGTTGTTCTCTTTACCTTGTTTTTTAAAGATGCCTTAATAGTACAAGTGAAGTTTGCTTGCTCTTTGGATTGGAATCTAGTCTTGCCTTGTTTTGTGAGGTAACTTGTGACAGATGAGTGAGAGACATTAGCCTTTTTCTTGTGAATGTGTTGTTTCTAAAATTCTCGAGAAGCTTAATTCTATTTTTCGCGCCCCCTTTCTCTCTCTCCTTTACACTCTTTGCCACTCTATTTCTTTGTTCTATGTGCCTATTGAAGCACAAGACATGAATTCAAGATGTTGTTTGATGATTGAAATTGACAATTGTGTTGAGAGAAAGCCTTGCTGTTCATTTTTGGGGCTTTCCCTTGCTTATTTTGGCGCTCTTGCTTGTTTCATGATCGAAAAGATCAAAAATGTATGCAGGAACCTTTTCAATGTAAGGGTTTCCAATTTTTCTCTCGAGTGTTTCATATTATTTTTGCTTGTAGTTAAGTTTTGAAAAGCGGTTTAGATATTAGGTGTAACATGTTTACATCATTACATGTATGTGGTAGGATAAGATAACTACTTGCTCTTTTTTATGGTTCTGAAAGTGCTAAGCTCTGCTTAACTTTTGTGGTTTCCGATGTTTTTATAACAAGCAGTGCAAGAAGAAACTTTAGTTGGGGAGTAGTTTTTTGAAAACAGAAGCTTGTGCACACATTAATATAGACATATTTGTTGTGTGTAGAATGAGATTGAAGTGTGAAAAATTGGATAGTAGCTATTCTGACTAACAGAGTAATGCTCTTCCAAAACCTTTGATTTTAGCTTCACCCATGTCTGAGTTATATGTTCTAAGTATTGTTCATTCATCCATTCTTTATGTGATCAATTGAGACCTTTATGATAGTTACTTCCTAGGCCATATCATCTTAAAATTTCAATGTTATGCTACTTGCTTGATTGGCCCATTTGGCTATTTATACCCTGTTTTGTTCACCTTATAAGATTTAGATTCGGTAAAAAATCAGTATTAATAATTAAATGTCAACTGTAATCAATCAAAATCAGATTTTATCAATGTTAATCAGTTGTGATCAGTAAGTAAAAATGAGGGTTTGTTCTTTTTTAATTTTCACTGAAATTTACTACTCTTTCAACAATAAAAAGTGTTTGAATATGGTTTATTAATATTTTCTTTCTATTCTTTCATTGACTAGTTTTCACTTTTTTTCGGCATTAATTGTCAGTAACAATTTTCCTTTCTGCAATGTTTTAAACTATCTACTTCCTCCGTTTCTTTTTAGATGCATCACTTTCTTTTTTGACTAATTAATTATCTCTATCTCTTCTATCACATAATTCCCCCATTTTTTTCTCTCTACTCCAAAAATTGCCTAGGAGTCCGTGAAAACCAAAATGATGCAACTAAAAAAACAGAGGAAGTATATAAAATAAGAAGATGTAACTCAAATTTAGCAATTAATTTACTCCGTAACCTCATTACACAGTGCAAAGTTGAGAAACCCTATAAATGGCCAAATGGGCAAACCTTGTTGGGGGTTTTGTGGTGGGAAATGTGTAAGGGGTGGCTGGTAGTTGCATTTCTGCTAAATTAGTGACGAAAGATGGTTGTTCTTTGGTTAAGAAATCTGGTATAGCTGTGAAAGAGTCCATGATCACCTTTGTCAAAGATGAGAGGATGCTATCTGAAGCCGTTGAAATTGAGAAAGGAATTATGGGAATCCTAGTAACCTTGGGTACTTTCATTGGTGAGGAAGTAGCTGTGCAGTTGCGGAGAGTTCCTCCCCTATCCCCTCCCATGCCCACATTGTTTCTTTATTTTTCAGAGTGACTATCCAGAGACCTCAGACCACAAATTAGAGTAATGTGAAAGTTTTCTATAAAAATATTTTCATGATTGGCACATTGTGGGAGTTAACTCTGAGAGATTTGGTTGCCCCTGTTGAAAGAACTACTGTTATTGGGCATATACGTTTTAGACACTTTACCATTATCATGGCGATGAAATCTATTTGATGTTTTGATTATTGAATCTTGTCTCTCTAAGAATCTGATTGAGATTATTCTTTATTGGAGATGTGGATTAGACCTGTAGGCATTATCTATCCAAGTATTGTTGTTTCTTCTTTGATCTAGGGTGTTAAAGTGAGTTTTGAACCTTACGGCCTTAGTTATATGTAATTGAGAAGACAAAAAGGGAATGAGTTTGCTTGTATATTTTCTCTGACCGCGGAATTGGGTTGTGGTTTTTGATAAAGAGCTCCTAGTTTGCTTTTATTAATATGTGTTTGCATAATATAAAATGTCCAGATATTTCTACTCTTGGGTAGCTTGGTGCTTTTTCATGGATTTTTCAGGGTTCACAACATAAGATAGCATGGGTTATGTACTTATGTGTCTGTAAACTTTTGCTTAGGACAGCCCCTCACCACTAGTACATTATGCTGGCAACAGGTCTTTCTAGAATCTGTTGTACAACATGAATCAATTGTTAATGTGGCTTGGCCAGGCACATTCTAGCCTAGATGAGACTAAGCTTCCAACAGATTTTTCTTATATGAATGCATAGTGGTGGTCAGTGACATTGATGTTTCAAATAAAAATAGTAACCTGTCTTTTTTATGATCTCCGACATATATTAAGGCTTTCTGTGTATCATCTTGAGTTATTCTAATGTCGTATATGTTTGTGTCTGTATTAATTCCCTTCCAGTAATAGGTAATTAGGGATTATCCGAGCTCTAGCATGGAGAAACAATTCAAAATCTACTCTAAAAATTTGGAGTTAATGTCTGCAATTCTGCATTAGTATAGATGACAATAACTAGTTATCTATAGAGTACTTTGTGTCTTCCAATTCTAATTTGCTCAAAGATATAGCTTGTGCTAAAATAATTCAGGTTTTTTTTTTTAATACCATGGCGATACCTTGAAATTTGTAGCTAAAATCCATGATAATTTTATCCAACTCTCACTTGGGTCCTTCACGCTACCAAATCAATTAGCATGACTTCAGGTTTTCCTTTTGATATGAGGACTTAACTGTGGTAATGATAACCCCATTTGGCAATCCCTTTCCACATCCCTTGTCTTTGCTTTTGTATGGCAATCCCTTTCCATTTGGCAGTCTTGGAAGAATAATGCAATTATTACATGTCTTGCTTCAGAAATCCAATGCTGATATTTTGCTTTAGCTGTTTATGGAAGTGTTGCCCTTATTTTTTGCACTGTTTTCTTCCTATCTATGGTTTCTGATTGATCAATATGCAGTATTTTTAAAAGTACTTTCCCCTCCCACCCCCACCCCTCCTCTCCCCCATGAAAATTATGGGTTCGACTGCGTATGGAACATAGGCTTAGATTGTTTTGTTGATGTAGTCTATATGATAACTCCGTTATTTATGGTTGAATGTTGAGAGAGTGGTACTAATCATTTAAAAAATGCCTGATTTTGCAACAGAGCAGTGGTTGTCTTGGATGCTTTACCAGGCCCCAACTAATAATCGCTGTGGATGAGCCATCAAAAGGATTGAAAATACAAGGCCGATCCGTAAAGAAAACAAGCCTACCAGACGATATTTGGAGCAGCTCATATGAAATGGACAATAGTGCAGTTCAGTCACAGAGAAGCATTTCATCTATGAGTGCCTCTAATCAGAACCTTGATCCCCATGGGGGTAGTGGAAGCACAAGCAATCCTTCTGAATTTGTAAATAATGGCAAGTTTCTTTCCTCTTTATTTCCAACCCAACTCTCCAAGCCGTTATTCCAGTTAAGTACTTAGTTTTCCCTGTAGTCAACCAGGATTTTCCCCTCCCCATCTCCAGTGCCTAAAAGAAATGTAACATTTGAAGTGGCTACACTGATTCTTGGAGATGTATATTTATATTTCTTCCAGTTAAATAGGGTAGAGAAACAGACCTCAAAGACAACAGTTGGTGTTTGTGCCTATATTAATTTATTGTTTTTTTTTTATTACTGATGTTTATGTTGGAGTCTGTGGATCTGATGATTGGGTGTGATTGCTATAATATCCATACGAAGTATTATTTTCTCTTCTTTCATCTCTATGTATGTGGTTATGCATAGATTTTAATCATTTGAAAGACATCCCTTTGACCGAATTCTTATATGAAGTGTATTGTACTTCAAGCTAATTTATTTTTGCTAGTTAAGTATCCAAGAAATCTGCATTTACTTATAGCTGGAAAATCTATTGGATGCAGGCCTACTTCTCTGGAACCAAATGAGGCAGCAGTGGGTTGGTGATAGAAAGTCTCGTAATCAGCCAAAAATGCGTGAACCCAGATTAAGGTATGAAAATTTGTATTTCTTAAAGTTGCCTAACTTAGATTTATTGAACTGCAGAATCTTTGTGGTCAGCTAACAGTTTTATGGCTGCCTTGTGAAAAGGGGTCAATTACTTCATTGATTGAGTTCTGAAAGAGATAAAATGAAAAATCGAGTTAGTAGGTTACTTGAGGTTTATTTAAAAGGTGTTACAGATGATGTTTTTCAGGAATAATTTATCAAACCATGAAATATGATAGGTTGTGGCGTTGGATGGTTAGAAATAGGAAAACTAAAGCCTCGGAAAAAACTGGTTTGGGCCTTTGGGGGTGCTCTCGTTATGAACTCCCTCTGAGTGGAATGAGTTGGCTTACAGATTTTTTGGTGAGAATTGAAGAAGCTGTTGTTGAAGTGGAAACAATCTGCCAGACTTCATGCTCTAGGCTCGTTAACAGAAGCCTTCCAGGGATTAGGTTTAACTCCTCTCACTTCTCAATATTAGGTGTTCAAGCTGCAATCCTAAAGGTGTGTCTACAAGTAGTTGACTTATGTGTGTTGATCGGTTAGGTTATGCTGGGATGCTCTCTAGTGTAGGTAAATTAGTGTGTTGTGTTTTGAGGGACTTTTGACCACCTGGAGACTATTGAGCTTAGGCTCTTTTCTTTTGTTTTTATACAGTGTTTAGTCAATGAATATAAGCCGGTTTGTAGTTCTGATCTTGTTTGATGCTCTCTTGCCTTCTCCCTGAGTTGTTTTACTGCTGGTCCTACAAAATTGAGCAAAATGCCGTATTGTGCAGTTGGAATGCTACATACGAGACTCTACTTGGGACAAATAAGCCTTTTCCTCAACCCATCCCTCTGCCTGTAAGTATTTACTGAACATAATCTGTTATCTGTTTTTTCCCTTAAATTTCCCCCTATTTAAAATTATAGGCGCATCTCTGGTTTAGTTTGCCCCAATATAATAGGGCACTTCCAATAGTATGATGCTAATATTTGAACTTTAGTAGTTGCTACCATATGTAACAAATTTAGTAGTTGTGGTTGATTTCTATAAAGACGACCTCGATTTGATAAGGACTAAAGAAGTAGTAGTAGTTGTGATTGTTTACCAACGTTTGGTTGTGTTTTTATTTTTTTGCAGGAAATGGTTGATTTTCTCGTTGATGTCTGGGAACAAGAAGGCTTGTATGATTGAACAATAACAAAATCTTGAAAACTGATGATTCTTCCTTTTAGCAACCGCGCGTATTTTGTAAAGGTTCGGTGCCAGAAGATGATTAGTAGCAAAGCTAAAATGATCACCTCTAGAGCATGATTAATCCTCAGAACTCATCTGTTTTCCTACTTCAAGTCGTGAACTTTTCAAATCTGATAAAATTCTAGCTTTGATTCTTAATTTCCTGCCATCAAGTAAAATTAATCTGCATGATTAGTAGGTAATCGATATCATTGACTTGAGTCATCTTTTTTCATGATCTAATGTGCAGAAAATGATTGAATTAGCGAATTGATGGAAGTTTGTGGGAAACTATTTTCCATCCTTGCAATTATAGAGAGACATGTTTTGCAGAACATAAAATTTCAATTGTATTGTTTGTAAAGACACAGGACACCTTGTTATCATGAAAAAATATTCTGTTAAGCGGTTGTTTCATGCCTAATTTTGCTACTATTTCGCCAGTTTTGCTACTATTTGATAAGGACTCGTTAATGGTGATGAATTACGCCTGTTCCTCCGGAAAATGCCCATTGTCGTCTCAAATAAAAGCTGATTATCCCAACGCACTCGTTTTAAGGAAAACTTCTTAATAGTACACAGAAGTTAGAAAAGTCTTCTTCTAAGATTGTAATCTAACTTAATACTCGGTAACATACTCGTATAGTCAAATGAGCAGTATGTTATCCGGATGTATTAGGCACAAGCGCACTGATACATCCACATTCAATGTAGCTGAGTTAGAGATCTTTCAAAGAAGCAACAAAGTACCATTATGTACTACGAAGTATAGATCTGACTATCTAATACAAATTCTACCATTAGTTTTAGAGATATTTAAATGGCTGTTTGGCATATGCTGAAAATTTGTTTCCTCCGCATATATTCGATATTTTACATGAATGGCGCAAAGATTATGAATATAGAAAGGTTAGGTCGGTGGTTGGTCCTTTTTTTTTTTTTGATAGGCGCCTGGTGGTCCAATTTTTTCTCCGTTTTATAATACTTGCATGTTGCAAACTTGCAATTTAAATTTTGCAATATTTACACTACTTTGATTACTCAATAAAAAAACATATTTATAAAAGATCTCCTTAGAAACTTTTTTCTTTTTTTTTTTTTTGGCGAAAGTGTATATTTCAAAATATAAACTATATACACCTTTTTATGGTGAGAATAAAACATATTAATGATTAAAATTATGAATTAACAAGTGTGAAAATAAGCATTGCAAGTATAAAGAAACAAAAGATGTATATACAGTAAATCTTCTGTCTCACAATTTGTGTATTATCTAAAAAAACACTCTCTTTTTTTTAAATCCTTTTATTTATTGAATGTTAAATGTACTTGGTCCGTAACTCTATATGTGGGTTATACTTTATATTTTCAACCAAAATTTAATTACATCATTATCCTTTGTAACTTTTAGCAACAGTACAAGCTTGTACAAAATCCAATTGACATACCCATTTTACTAGTGTACTTATTGAGTGATTTCGGTCAATGCATGTGAATATAATTAAAGTAGAGATATTATAAAACTTTGTTTATTTCGATTTTCGTCCCCATTAAAATATAATTAAAGTGTTGAATAAATGTAAATTCTTTTTTTATTGCTTTATTGGTTTGGTAGGGAAAGGGGGGAAGGAGGGTGCTTCATTACATGTTGGAGGTGTAGGTAACAAGAAATAGTTGATATTTGACACCACTATGAATTTTTGCTTTCAAGGGGTTACTAAAGCCTATATTTAGAACAAGTGGGTGGTCTTAGCTTCAGTCTACCACTGAAATTGCTTATTTCATCTCATGTATTATGCAATTCTCTATAATTGATTGATGGCCAACTGTAATTGCTATGATTGACAATCAATTTGTTGCCAATTTGCCCTAGTAAAGGAAGTATAGTTGGGTGCAGTGTATGGCGATACTTCGAGGAAGAGGCCGGGTTTTCGCAACTTAGTGTTTGGTATGAAGGTTAGCTAGCTTAGTTGTTAAGGTCTCTTAAAAATCATAATTTTGAACAGAGGCTGAAAGTGTATGATTCTCGATTGTTTCGTAAGTCATCTTTAATAATCAGTATATGTTATAAGTGTAATTTATGAATCATTGCGCAACACTAATTGGTTATATTAAAAATGAGATATATAAATATAATCCAATTATGAAGAGTGGTCGGAATTTCTCCTATAATAGTAGTACAAACAGAAGTATCTCATAAAGTGAAGTTGTGGTATGTATGACATTATGACCATAAATAAAAATGGGCACTTTTTAACTTAACTACAAGAGAAAGAGAAAACCGTGAGAAATATGCTCATAAATGAATAAAATTGAGTGACGTATAGTGGGGCAATTTGTTCCCTTACGATTGTGGAAGTGTTCAATGCTTCGGCCCACAACCCATTCATATGCTTGAGAATGGAGGGTAGATAAGATTCTTACAAATTTTAATGTCAAAACTTGATATTCTCGACAGTGAGAGAAAGGCTCAATTTCCTTTGTGTGACAACTTGCATCTTCTTAACACCCCATTATTATGTATATGAAGGTATACGTGGTTGTAGTTTGATCTCATTTCATTTCAATTAGTTATTATTTTTTATTTCGAGCTCGTGTTTGAGATAAAAGTTTTGTTGTCTATTGTAAATTCGTAATTCTAAAAGTCTGTATGTATTGAATCACTTATAATAAGAGATTTTTCATCCTAAGAATCACAACTGGTAAGAATCTAACACGTGATCTTGAGGTCATGAGGTGAACTCCTACAAACTACACCATGTACTACTTAATGCATTAGTAGTACACATTATAAGATGTGGAAGAAATCTCTTTGAGTAATGGTCCTAAACTCCTAATGGGAGCAAATACTAGCCAATATTCGATGATAGGCCTTTAGACTACAATGACGAGTCAAAAATATCTGCTAATTTGTTAAATTCAAATAAGCTAACCCTCTTTGTGAGCGCATTAAAAATCAAAAGCCTCCGCACCGCATTGCATCACTATCAATTTATTCAACGTTGATCTTCCGATCCCTTTTCTTTGCTCATAATATTAATCTCAAGGCTCAAGTCATTTTCTCTCTATAGTGCCCACTTTGTCACACTTGTATGTAATCGCAAAATTTTGTTGCATGTTTCGATACAACATACAAGAGGGTAGATTGTACACTTGTACCTGTATTGTGACAATAAGGCAGAATGTACATAAGTAAGATCTTAATTAGGGCATATACTGATTATAAAATTAATATATTTTCTAAAATGGTAACTTAGAAATCTATGAAAAAAATTCCATGTTATTAAGTACTATTAATGATTTAATATTTCTTGTTTAAGCTACTTATATGCAATAATCCTTAAAGATGCATTTAACATTTTTCGTATCTTTGAATTTGGTTATTTTATGAAACCCTTAAAGCATTAGAATTATGAAAAAATCTCACGCCAAATGGTATATTTTTATTGTTAAAGCTTTCCTCTTTAATCTTCTTATATGCAATGAGCTGCATATAAGAATTTATACATTGTACATGTATAGGTTTGAGAATTTATGAACAAAAAAAAAAAAAAAAAAAAAAAAAAAAAAAAAAAAAAAAAGCATGCTTCGATTGATGTTAGTTGTTGATTGTTTGAGGTTGCTCGGAGTGTAGCTCATTATCTTACTACTTCGTATTTGTGAAGAAGATACATATATATAGTCCATATTTAGCCTGGTATGAAGTAAATTACAAGATAATACATAATCCCAATCTACCATATATTAATATATATCTAAGTAAATGATAATAATAATAATACAATTTGATCCATCATATGGCTTATTAAAATTTGTTCACAATAAGAGCATTTAGAAGTTTTGCAAATTGGTGTAGTAGTGATTGGCTAGCACTACAATAGAATGGTGATCTGTGCATTAGAATGTTCAACCGTACTTGCTGTAATTTAATGCATAAGATAAGAGGATTTATGGAACATTAATATAAAAAATTAAGCTAATTAAATGTTAATTTGATCGTGCATGCATTTTCATTTAAGTCCATCAAATTCCATAATTTTAACGCACATAAAAAATGATATAAACCTTATACAGTCATACACTCATATACTCCACGTAAAAAATGAGTTAGTTGTTTGTAGGTTACAAATTTCCCTACTATTAAGGTCCCAAACTCTTATAGTAAAAAAAAAAACATATCTCTTTACGTTATAAACACGTTAACATGTACAATTATTATTAAGACGAGATTCAATCTCATACCTAGATGAGTACCTCCTTAATAACGATAATATACTATCTTGTGCATTTAATCATTTATATGAGTAGGTACGGTACAACATATAGTAGTAATTAATTAATTAATTAAATCCAATTTGGGTATCTTAATTAATCAATTGATCTTCAGAGTGTTCAGACTCATCAGATTAGTTAGGTGCAAAGAATCAGAACTAGTAATTAGGGAAAGAGAGAGAGAGAGAGTTTAAGAGGGTCACAAAGACTTGTATACACATGCCACTTACGCAGATATGAGTTGGATCCTTTAGGGAAAAAATATGGAGTATTTCTAGGATTATTTCCTATTACGTCCCTTAGTAAACACTTAATAAAGGGAACGTATAAACTCATTAAAGGAAAAAAAACAAAAAGGTTAAAAGATTGATTAGTTTTGAAAATACACGAAACATGGTAGTAGAAAATATAATGTACTACGTAGAAATTTGTAATTGTTAGAGCTAAAAAGATACCGAATTTCCTCAATTTTAGAAGATTTTTGCTATACAATCAGTTGCACTTTGTAAGGTATAACTAAAATTATATTGCATTGTATCATATTTTTTGAATGTGCATGTACTCATAAGGTATAAGTGTATAACTATATAAGCGCATGAATGAACAAAGAAATATCCTTGGTTTTATTAGACCTGATCAAGTATGGCCCGTCTCGTTGGCCCGGCCCGATTTTGGGCGGGCTTTGGGCAGAAATTTTCGGCCCGAAATCGGGTTGGGCCCGACCCGACCCGTTTTTTTTTTTTGGGCGGGTTTGAGAATGCGTTTTAAAGCATATTTAGTTGATTTTTAGGCCCGCCCCAAAAATGGCCCGAAAAGCCCGCACGGCCCGGCCACTTTGGGCGGGTTTGGGCACAAAAAATTCGGCCCGAAGCTTGGCCCGGCCCGAGAAGGGGGCAAATTTTTTTAGCCCGAACCCGGCCCGGCACGCCCAATGATCACCTCTAGGCTCTATCATGCTAAAGGATCAACCAATTGTACATTGAAATTTTTTTATTTTTAAGGCAACTTATTAGTTCTATCTTACAAATTTCTAAACACGTAGTTACATAGCAGAAAAATATGTGTACAGAGTACTCCTTATTTTTGGGACCAACTATTTAATTAAGTACCTTAATATTTAAAACCAGGTTGATTAAAGGAGTAAGCCAACCTAGCTAATAAAAGCATGGTATATTTGCAAGTTGCGTATATTTGCCAGCTTTGGCATGTGAAAATTGCTAGATTCATAATCTTCAAGACAAAAGAGAATGTACTTGCTAATAATCATCTATGTTTTTTAGACCAACTTGATCTGATTATTTTTATCAACATTATATTACCTTATACTGTAGTAACGTAATTTCCAACTTGCATATGAACTGGAAAATCAAATTAAAGTATTAAACAAAAATTATTCAGGTGAAAGGAATTTGTATAGTTTTGAGTAATTAAAATAATTTCCTAGGAAAGAGAGAGGAGAGATGGTGTGCGTACGTGCACGTGGATCTCAATATGGACGGCTTAATACTGTTTATTAAAATTTAATTAGATTAAATTAAATTAAATTAAATTAAAAAAAAATTGAACAAAAATTAAATTAAATTAATAAAAACAATTTGGATTAAAAAATAATTAGTAGAGTATAGTTTAATTAATAACAGAAAAAATAAAACATGAGGAAGTTGCTAGATGACTATGCTAGGACCAGGTTCATATTATTATATAGTGTAGCCGCGTTTAATTTGGTCAAAAAATCAACAAATTCAAGTGTGCAAGTGTATAAATAACGTTACATATTATATCAGTTAATGAATTAATTAAAAAAGTATACAATGAACCTTACAATTGTCAAATTTCAATGTCAATTCTGGTCTCTTTGCCTCTTGTTTACTTTCTTTATACACGGTCTTATCCTAATAATACCCTAGTAAAATGAGATCTTGTTAATGAATGCCCTCCTCGGGAATTTAGATAAGCATTTAAAATATTATCTAAAGTGAAACTGTATTAATTTAGGAATGCATGACAAAATCATACATCGATCGATGTAATTAATATTCATTTTAATTTAATATTTTTACTTTTAATTATCTTATCCAACCCTTTTAGGATGTTAGTTAGCTTTAACCAAATGAAATAGGTGACCAATTTTTTTCAACTTTTTTCTAGATATTCCATTTGGCTAGTCTCTTCAAAGTCCATATTGTATTCATTATTCAAATACTATGCATCTTGTCTATTGGCACTCTGATTAATGAATGGATGATACATGTTACATGTATAGTAGTTCATATAGTGGTGCTTTTGTAGATATTTTGTGAAGATTGATTTATTTCACTATCTCATTCAAATGTCTACATTGAATGAGCTCATAAGAGTCTGATTACATACAGGCTTTTTTTTTTTTTTTTTTTTAATTTTTTTGACTGGTACATATAGGCTTAATTAATGTGATTTCATCATATAATTAATTAGTAATACAAGAAATAATCCATTGGTTATATAAAGTTGGTCTTCATTCTTTTATTTTCTTCAATATGAGACAATTAGTTCCATCACATGTGAATTATGTTTCTAACAAAAAAATCATGAATAATTAATACGAAGTATTTGTTTTGATGAATACATAGTATCACCAATAAGGCTCGTTATTTAGATCGAAAGAGATACCCTTGTTAGTATTTTATCAATACAGTAATCAACTAGGAAAATAATGATCGATCAATGGGTTTTTGGACATGTATGAACAATGCCCCACTACTACAAAAAAGAGCTTAGAGAATGGTTAAAATAGGCTTTATAGAACGCCTTAGGACCGTTCTTCTGCTAAGCGATGCGTAAAGTATATAGAACTATTCTAATAGGTGTTTTGTATAATGAAAGATAGAGAACGGATCTTAGTCACAACTGTTCTTTTTTCCTTCCTAAAATCGAAAAATAATGAAGGAATAACTGTTATGTTGCCTAACTGATACAATTACAAAAGAGCACAGTTAGGTATTATGTTAGATAACCGTTCTCTAATGTTTTTTAATAAAAAAAATGTCCGCTATTTTCTTGCTACATTTATACGCATTTATTCTGTACAAATATTGTACTGTATATAAAGCACCCTTTTTAGGGTCATTTTTTGCACCAAATATATGTTAAAAAATAATGCAAGTTATATGTATGGAAATTAAAATAAAATCCATATGGAGATTCCAAAATGATAAATAGTAAACCAACTTACAAATTTACAAATTTTTAAAACTAAAAAACCAAAAAATTGATATACAAAAACTAATTCATGTAGCTTAGTAGTCGAAATTTATAGATATATTCAATCCCCCTTCACAAGTCCATAGCTTCAGTTTGAAATTTGAAATAGTAACTCATGCAATTGTAGACGATCTATCTCCTTCGTATTGAAGAGCTCTTTCCGCTTCAAAGCCTTATAAATTATGTATTCCCTACAACATTAATTGAGTAATTAGATCTACAAATTCAACTTTATAAACATATTCAATAATCGTTTTTCAAAAAAAAAAAAAAAAAAAAAAAAAAAAAAAAAAAAAAAAAACATATTCAATAATCGTAAGAGAAAAAAATCAATCAAAACAAATTTATGAAAGAACAATAAAAAAAAGCTTATACCTTATGAACTTTTGATGATTGTTATCATCTCCTTCTTCAAGATGTAATAAAGTAAAACACCCATGAGAAGAATAGTATGTATGACGTCAACCATCAACATATATTTGCACTTGCAATAGTTTATTTACTACAGAATTATAAGTTCTAGCCTTTCCCAAACAACGTTTAAAGAGTCGAATTTTAACTCACAGAATTAAAATGTGCAAACACTAACTAACGGAAGACTAAAATTTTCCTAAATTCAAACTAAAACTAGATAGAATTTATTATCCCATGAATTAAAAAAACGAAACCTAAATTTAAGATCTAAAATTGAATTAAAAATGAGGATGAGAGAGAGAAACATGGGCGGCGGTTGAGTTAGAGAAACAACTCTAAGAAAGAAGAGAGCTGTTAGAGTTCCACTACACTTTTTTCTAAGGGGTTCCTGTACACTTATCTTTTTGCCCTAATAAAATAGAACGGTTGTGAGAAGAACGTTCTATATTGTAAACGCACAACGGTTATGTGGAGAGGCGTTCTATATGATTCAACATACAAAACTGTTATCTAACATAGGCGTTCTATATAATTCTAGAGATCGCCTATCTAACATAACCGTTGTGTGTTATGTATTCCTTTTTCCACTTTTTATAGTAGTGCCCTAAATTACTAATTTCAATAATTTATTTTATATCGCAAAAAAGTACCATAATCAAACTAATATGAATTTCAATTATCTATTTTGTATTTGATAAAGATGGTTATATGGCATACCTTAATGGTCAACACTTAGTGTTTAAACTGTAGGTATAAAATGCAAAGATCGATGGATCATGAATTTGAGAAATGTACGTTATATATATTGTGAAAATGTGCTTTGGCTTCATGAAACATCTTCTTTGATCAACCTCTATATGGTATCAGAGTCAAGCTCACTGCTTGGGAGCTCTAATAACTTAAGTACACTGGGCCAACTTAATTAACCATGTAAGGGGAGTGTGAAAACTCACTTTGTCCCCTTAAAACATTACATGCAATGAAATTAAATGGTTGTTATTACATGTAAGAAGCAACGAATGTTGAAGTATGTATAGTTTTTTCAAACAACACATATAAGTATCTCACATTGATAAAAGATGAAAAAGTTAAACGTACTTTATAAGACTAAAGGGCTACTCCTATTAATTTCATATAGTTTTGGTTTGGAACAATCCTCATTAGACTTGTAAAGTGGATTCTCTCATATGTGATGAGTGCAACCCAAACCCGTATTTAACTATAATACCATTAGATTTATATTTTTGGTGTTAGAAAAGTATACATACCATTACACTATCTAATGTTACTATTTATCTATTTACTAATATATATGTCAATATTTATATTTTTTTCCATCAAATTATAGCAGTTTCAAAATATAACGACTAAAAAATTATTTAGAAAATATCGAAATCAACTCAAGGTTGAGATCTTGAGTACAACTATTCAAATATTTCCCAACTTAATTGGGATAAAATGCAGTGGCAAAACCAGAAATTATATATCGGGGATTTAGGGGGGAGGGCAAGATCAATTATATTTATTTTAATCTCTACATTAAATCTTGTTTAGTCTGACATATCTCTTAATTGTTTTTTGATTTCTAATCAGAGAAGTTAACATTTTGACTCATGACAAAAATAGAAACATTGAAGTGATTGACAAGAAAGTTTATTAGGAAAAAATTTCATTAAAAGAATAAAATTGGAACATTCGTTAAGCCTAATAGCTACCAAAATACAATAAAGAATAAATAAGTAAAAAAAAATTGAGTGCAACAAGAATCGAACCCTTGTCACATATGCAAAAAAAAACCACATTTGCAAGTCTGGCCAGCTATTTCACCCATCATGTATTATCATTATTAACACACAAAAATATTTATAAAATCAGGGGGGTGGCCATGGCCTACCCTAGCCCCCCCTTGATTCTGCCCCTAATAAAATGGCACATACTTTAGAGCATAGTCAACACATGCTGGAGGTGAATAGAGTAGTTTGAACTTTTTGCCTTTCTGGCCTGGTCTTGTTAGATCATTTTAACTCAACTAATCTTTAAATATCGTTGTATGTTAATGAGAAAGAATTATGAATTATAATGAATATTTGGGGTTTTAAATGATCTTTATGTGTATATTCTACATACCTAAATTTTTAGACTTTTGATTTGATATAAAAATTAAAGTTATTTGACAATCAGAAAATAAATAAGAATATTTGGTTCATTATCACTAACTTTAGTATGTTCTAGTATGATCATTGATTCGGTTTGACATTAATGAGGATGTAAGCAATAAATTGCTAACATGAAATTGCTAATATAAGGTGAATAAAACACAGACTCAGATAACCAATGAAGCAGCTTTTCCGAGAGAGGAGCATGATTCACAATTTGGAAGAATTCTCTAAACATGACCTAATCCAAAAGGAAAACACTACACGTAGCCCTAACGACAACACATACATAAGACATACAAACTTCTCACTTTGACAAGTTGCAGTTTCAATTAAATGAAAATTGTACACGTACATAACCCTAATGAGTAACGACTACGTACACTATACGAGGCTAAAAGTAGAAACACTACCACCACCATATTTTGGGAAAAAAGAATACACCTTGTACTAAACCCAAGTTTTGAATCCCAAATTAAAGGGTTTTTTTAGACAAGTGGGTGTTTATGTGATAACTTAGGAATGGGAGCAAAGAATTCAAGTTTTAGAGTGAGATTCATTGCATTTGCATGTCATCTATCCCCCACACCTTCCAAATTCCTTGTATATGAATCATATTCATGCATTTTCCCACCTATTATTAATAACCTTATATTATAAAATCAAATAATCAATTACATTATTTTTGTTGGACCCACCTTATTACATTGACAACATCTAAAGATAAAAACACATCCACAGCACCAAACCTTTTCTCATTGTTCGTTCGTTTCATTCATTCCCCCTTCCCCTCTTTTCTTTCGCCCCAATTTCCCCCCCTTTTTTTGCCCTATTTTCAATAGGGTTTCTCTTTCATGCTCTACTTTCTCATCTCATGAATTTTGCAGACCTTCAATTTTCATCCATCTTTGTTGTTTTTGTGTTCATAATCTCGGTTTTTGGAGCTTTTGAGGATCTTGGTGGCTTCTTTCAGTCGTCTAGCTCTCCTCTTTTTTGCCTCTCCGAGGTTTTTAATCAGCTTTCAACATGTCTCAGATCTTCGATTTCAGTGGTATGTTTTGGATCCTTCTCTTTCATTTCTGTAAATTTTATGATTTTATTGTCTTAAACATGTGGGTGTTTTTGCCATGTTTTGTTTTAGAGTTAATTAGGGTTTGTATGATTGGGTTTTTATATATGATTGGGTTGTTTGGGTAAATTTGGCATCTAGGTTTTGTTGGGTATTTAGTTGCTGAAATTTTCAGGTAGTTTTGGCATCTAGGGTTTACTTAATTTGCTTCAATTAGAGCTAATTAGGGTTTGGTATGATTTGGCTTATCAGTTTTTTGTTGCATGAATTTGAGGTAGTGGTTCTATATTTTTTTTTTTTTGGCATCTGGGTTTTGTTGGATTAGTCTAAATTTGGGTAAAATTGATTTGAGTTTATGAACATAGGCATTTGATCTGTACCTCGAATTTTATGTAGAACACTGTAGATATTCATGATAATTTATGAGTTCAGTATTTATAATTTTTAGTTTAATCATGAATTGTTGGTGATCTCTTGAATTTCGGTGATGTGTGGGTAGTTTGGTGGTTAGTTTAATTAGCTGAAAGGATCAAGTGTTGTTGGTGGAAAATCATATACTGAATTTGTTTTGGTTATTTGGATTTTCAGGAAGTGAGGAATTTTACCATGGTGGATCAATATACTCGAACCCCAAGGAAGCTGGTAGCTTTTTGTCCCTTGGTATTGTCAACCATGTGGATGTTTACTTCCCTAACAAAAGGGCTAGGATCAGTGCCCCTATTGTAGCAGGAGAGAGTGTAGAACAGAAGAAGCAGGTCTCTCTTGATGTCCTCCCAGACGAGTGCTTGTTCGAGATCTTCACACGTTTGTCTGGGGACCAGGAAAGGAGTTCTTGTGCCGGTGTTTCAAAGCGATGGCTTATGCTTTTGAGCAGCATCCCCAGTGAGGATTTATGCAACAAAATTAAGGTTGCTGCTGATGAAGTCGAGGAGATCGAGAACGATGGATTCCTTACCAGGAGTTTGGAGGGTAAGAAAGCCACCGATGTTAGACTTGCAGCTGTTGCTGTAGGAAGTGCTGCTCGTGGTGGTTTGGGCAAGCTTATGATCAGGGGAAACAATTCTGTTCGTGGAGTTACTGACCTTGGTTTGAAGGCTGTTGCTCGATGCTGCCCCTCCCTAAAGAGTTTGTCTCTTTGGAATGTTTCTTCCATTGGGGATGAAGGTCTTATTGAGATTGCCAATAGATGCCACCGCCTTGAGAAAATTGACCTTTGCAACTGCCCATCAATCACCAACAAGACCTTGCTTGCCATTGCCAAGAATTGTCCAACTTTGACCTCTTTGAGTATTGAGGGTTGTCAGTACATTGGTAATGAAGGTGTGAAATCAATTGGACAGTTCTGTCCCAACCTTAAATCAGTTACCATCAAGGACTGCCCACTTGTCGGTGATCAGGGTGTTGCGAGTTTGATGGCATCAGCATCTTTCTCCGTAACCAAGTTGAAGCTACAGGGGTTGAATGTCACTGATCTTTCTCTTGCTGTTGTTGGCCACTATGGAAAGGCCATTACTGATCTTGTTTTGACCAACCTTCAGAATGTGAATGAAAAGGGTTTCTGGATCATGGGTAATGCTGAGGGTCTTCAGCATCTCAGGTCATTTACCATTTCATCATGCCGAGGAGTCACAGATGTAGCAGTTGAAGCTGTTGGAAAAGGATGTCCTAATTTGAAACAATTTGTTCTAAAGAAGTGTGCTTTCATTTCTGATAACGGATTGGTATCTTTTGCCAAAGCTGCAAGGTCCCTTGAGAGCCTACAACTTGAAGAGTGCCACAGGATTACCCAAATTGGGTTTTTTGGTCTCCTTTTTAACTGTGGTCCTAAGTTGAAGGCTCTTACTATGTCTAGCTGCTTTGGATTCAAGGATATGATTTTGGGATTCCCCCTTCCGATCAAATCCACACCACTTCGATCTGTTACAGTTAGTAACTGCCCTGGGCTTGGAGACATGACCTTGGCCATGTTGGCAAAGCTGTGTCCTCAATTGCAATGTATCAATTTCAATGGGCTTCCCTGTATCACTGATGCTGGCCTTCTCTCTCTCATTGAGAGCTGTGATGCTGGCGCTGGCCTTGTCAAGGTTGGTCTCACTGGTTGTGTTAATGTGACCGACAATGTTGTCATTGCACTGGCAAAATTCCACGGT